ATACCCAAGCCTAAATCTGTATCAGCTTGTGGTTTGTCGGCAGCTTGAGAACCCCAAGATTCAGTTTGAGGCTTGTTGGTTTTAACACCCCAGGATGAATTTGTATCAGCCTGCGATTTATTAACTGTTTGAGAACCCCAAGAATCAGTTTGAGGCTTATCGGTTTTAGCACCCCAGGATGAATTTGAATCAGCCTGCGATTTATTAACTGTTTGAGAACCCCAAGAATCAGTTTGAGGCTTATCGGTTTTAGCACCCCAAGGAGAATTTGTTCGAGATTTGTTTGGAGCTTGAGAACCCCAAGGTTCTGTTTGAGGTTTGTCTGTTTTAGCACCCCAAGGAGAATTTGTTCGAGACTTAGTTGTAGCTTGAGAACCCCAAGAATCAGTTTGAGACTTGCCTGCTTTAGCAGGCCAGGGAGAATTTGTTTCAGTTTGAGATCCCCGAGGATCGCTTTGAGACTTGTCAGCAGCTTGAGCACCCCAAGGAGCATTTGTTTTAATCTGAGATTTGTCTGCCGTTTGAGAACCCCAGGAATCGTTTGGAGACTTGTCAGCGGCTTGAGCACCCCATGAATTTGGTTCAGTTTGAGGTTTGTTATTGGTTTGAGAACCCCAAGGATCGCTTTGAGACTTATTTGTGGTTTGAGCCCCCCCTGAATTTGTTTCAGTTTGAAATTTGTTAGTAGTTTGAGAACCCCAGGGATCGCCTCGGGACTTGTCCGTGGCTTGAGCTTGAGCACCCCATGAATTTGTTTCAGTCTGAGGCTTGTTAGTGGTTTGAGGACCCCGAGATCCGCTCTGAGCCTTGTCCGCGGCTTGAGCACCCCACGTATTTGACTTGGTAGTGGTTTGAGCACCCCAGGAATCGTTTTGAGGTTTATCTGTGGCTTGAGCACCCCATGTATTGGTTCCAGTTTGTGATTTGTCTGCGGCTTGAGAACCCCAGGGATCGCCTCGAGACTTATCCGTAGTTTGAGCATTCCATGAGCTTGTTTCGGTTTGTGATTGAGCACCCCAAGAACTTGTTTCTGTCATCGATTTGTCTGTGGTTTGTGCACCCCAAGAATATGAATCAGTTTTTTGAGGCCATTCATCATTTCCACCAGCCGTAGGGCAGTCTTTTGATAAATGATTTTCATCTCCGC